TGTGCCTCTTCCACAAAAAAGACAAAAACCACACAATAATAATCTCCATCAGCATGGATGATTTTACAATCATAAGCACATCACAAAAACTACAGAAAGAGTTTGCCGCGATCCTGGCCACGGCCTATAACATCAAACAGCTGGGCGAACCAAGCCAGCTCCTAGGCTGAACCGTCAAGCGCATGAAAGACGGCTCCATACATGCATCACAGCCAACTGCGATACACTACGTTGTCAACAAAGCAGAAATGAGCAAGTGCAACAGCAAACCAACGCCATACAATGACAAAACAAAGCTGAATGGCCCGGTTCCTGAAGACGAACCCATGCCCCATGTCACCAAAATATACCAACAGCTGCTTGGTGACATACGATACATTGCCGACTCAACGCGACCAGACGTATACTTTGGCGCAAACTGACTATCTGTGGCGGCAAAAAACCCAACGACACGGCACTGGAATGCCCTCAAGCGCCTCATCAGATATCTTAAACACACCCAAACGCATGGAATCAGATTTGCAGCAGGAAAACATAGAATGCAAACGCACTGTATCCCCAACCTCCTCGAAACATACAGTGATGCGGACTTCGCCGCAGACGTCACAGACCGTAGATCCATGTCGGGCATGATCCACACATACCACGGCTCCCCTGTCTGCTGGGGCTCAATCAAGCAATCCATCACGGCACTGTCGACATGCGAAGCAGAATATATTGCCGCAACATCGGCAGCACAACAAACAACGTGGATAAGAAGGTTGCTCAAAGACATCGGAATGTTATCACAGAAGACCACACCCTTCCATATAGACAACCAATCCGCAATACGCGTGGCCAAGAACAGCGGACCCACGAAACAAAGAAATTCATTGACCTCCGGCATCACTACCTCACCCACCAGACCAGAGCAAAAACGATCAGTATACGACACATACAGTCACAAGACATGCTTGCCGATATACTCACAAAGCCGCTAACACCGAAACCATTCACACACTTAAAACCAAACTGCAAGTGTGTGACCCCCCGACCCCGCACCAAACAAAGGATCGTGCTACAGCGACGGGGGGAGTGTAATGATAACCATAACAACGAAGTCGCTATGGCACTCACAAGGTAATAATTGTAATGATAACCATACATGCACACACGTGCACACATAATACACGGCTCACAACGCCGCACTGACGACGGCGCTAGGTCGCTAGTCTTAAGAGAATGAGTGAGAGTGAGGGAAGTATATGACAGTCATTGTCTCGTCACCACAGCCTCAAAGCTCTGGTAAACACTCGGACATTGCACAAATGGCATGTATGGCGCATTATCTGCAAAATTTGAGCAATTCGTATGAAACTACTGGTCCTCCAAAAACAGTGTTTCTGGCCGGCATAAGTGTCTCATTTGTAGGGCGTCCGCAGTGCAGATATTCTTGTCAAACACAAATCGGACAGGCCACTGTACGATTTGTGATTTCCGGATTACTGTACCCTCAAGGGTATACTGTACTGTAGTACTGTGATTGCCGGTACAGTACTGTTGTGACCACTCCTTGTCACACTTAAAGCTAGGTTCTTTACTGGGTTCAACACTCATCTTCGGGCGACGCTGCTCGAGAGTACACTCGAGCCCTCCAGGACTTCACCTGACGTCCCCCCCTCCCTCTCATGCCCGCCCCCTCTTTCTCCCTAATATCGTTTTCCCTCCTCCTTTCGTTTCACACCGACGGTGTCTCCTTCTGTCGCCCCTCCTTTCGCTTCCCTCCCCTCCATCCCGGTCTCCTGCGCCCAAACACCCCCTGCCAACCTCAATAGCGGCACGAACACACCCTTCGGACAGCGGCCAGGTCTCACACTTGTACATGTAGTCCACACCATCTAACAGTACTGTACTTACTTACAGCACAGGACGACTGCGCGACCACAGGCGAGGCGGTGCGTAAGGTGCGAGGAGGTAGGGGAACGCTGACTCCGGGCGCCGCCGTCGGAGGCCCGGGTCACACTTTAATATTAAAGTGTGATTTAGGGCTAATCTGTGGTGCCCTTACAGTCTGCGCTGATGTCCTCGTGGTCGCGCAGTGGTGTTGTGGTGCCCTTACAGCCGTGGGTGCGCGGCTGCGAGACGAGGCGTATGCTGTTGAGATGTTTGGCGTAGGCTTGCCGCGTGAGCGGTTTGGTGAAGCAGTCCGCTCGGAGGTCTGCGAATGGTTCGTAGGTTGGTAATATTACCTTGTCGCGTGCCAGATGCTGTAGCACATGGTATCGTACGTCGATATATTTTGTTTTGCGTGTGGGCGCAGACGCCTCGGCGCCGGCGATTGCACCTTGGTTGTCCATATGAAGCGCCGTCGTGGGGAGTTTGGTGCCGGTAATTTCGGTTGTGAGGTTCCGCAACCATTCGCGTGCTGCGCGGTTACGCTTGCAGCTATCGAGGATAACGCAAACGTGGAATCTACCACGGTTCTGATGCGGCGGGACGACCATCATATTGCGTTATTGCCGTAACAAATGACGTTGCCCATCGTCGATTGTCGGGTGTCTGGACACCCGGCGAAATCTGCGTCGGAGAACGCGGATATGCGATGGGGACCTGCCGTGTAGATTAGGCCGTGGTGGATGGTGTTGAGTAAGTATCTCGCGACGTGCTTGAGGGCCGTCCACTGACGCACTGTGAAGCGTTTGGTGTGTCAGGATAATACACAAGTGATGTAGGCGAGGTCGGGTCGGGTGGAGTCGACTAGGTATCGCAATATGCCTATCGCTCGGGCATAGGGGTATTGTTTGGTGTCTAGGCATGTTTCCTGTGAGTCGGGGGCGTGCAGTGTCATGCCGGAGAGATATGGGGTGTTGGTGAGCTTGGCCTTGTCCATGCGGAGGAGGTTGACGAAAGACCTGGCCAAGTGGGGTTGTGAGATGTGCAGTGTGTCGTTGTGTGACCAGTTCAATGACCAGCCGACTAGGTGAGCCGCAGTGCCGAGGTTTTTGAAGCGGTATTTCTGCCTGAGGTCGTCCAGCAGGCTTTTGTACATCATGTCGCTGTTAGTGCCGACGGCGAAGTCGTCAATAGTTACCGCCATTATCAAAAAATTATCCCCGTCGCGTTTTCGGTAGACGTTAGGGTCGGCTTTGATCTGTGTGTAGCCGTGGGTGATGAGATGTCGACGGAGGCCGTTGCTGTATACGCGCGGGGCTTGTGGCGTGCCCCAGGGGTTCTTTTGTATGCGGGCGACCATGCCTGGTCGAGTTGGTGTGCCGTGCGTTTTGTGGAGTGGGGGTGTGGGATGGTATCATGTAGCCGCCGTGAGGCGTGAACACTACGTGGCAGTCATTTTGTAGAGTAACTTGTGCTACTGGTAGTAGGTTTTTGGAAAAAGTGGGGATGGTGATGGCTTGCGGCACGCGGAGTGTGGCTCCTCGGCGGTCGTGAGGCGTGACGGAGGACGTAGGAGTGCCTGTAGCTCCGGAGCTGTTGGGGAGAGCCGTATTAGAGGGTTGGCGACGGGCGTTAGTAGGCGCATATCAATATGTTCGTCTATCTTCCGATCGGAAGAAGGATGATGTACATCCAGAGTCTGGGTAGTATTTGTGAGACGGGGTGTGCTGTACCTGTGACATGTCCTCTTCATTGTCGCTGCCTTTGTGCTGGTCGGGTTCCTCCGTGTGCTTCGTGTTGTAGGGGGAATAATGGCAGTCATTGTAATCTTCGGGCTCTTGTATGTGCTGGGCGGCGTTGGCGCTGTTGCGTGCGCGGTTCAATGCGTCGGTTCGGCGGAAGCGACCGCGGCCCCTGCCGCGTGAGGGGTTGTATCCTGCCGTCTGCACGGGTCGCCCTTGGTTGTAGCCTTGGTACGGGGGCGTCGTTCTTGTTGCAGTTTTTGGAGCTGCTGGCATTCGTTCGTGTGGTGGGGGTTGGAATGGTGGAATTGTGCACCAGGTGCGGGTTGTCCCTGTCTTTTGTGGATTGATGGTTTGGGCTGCTGGTATGAATAGGTCTAGCAGCTGTCGGAGTTCACGGATAGTGGTCGTTCTGTGCGCGAGCAGGCTCGGTATGTGCTGCTGGAGGGACGGGCGTGACCTCAGCCCACATATGATGTATGCTATGGCCCGTGCGTCTGTGAGTCCTGGGACTTTGGCGCGTAGCATGGCTTGACGGTGACTGAGGTGTCGGGTGATGTAGTCTTTGATGGTCTCGCGCGGTTTGATGGTGATCGTCGTGGCTTTGGCTCGTAACCTTTAATGTTATCGGGTGTTGTCATCTTCGTAGTGTGTCTTGATGTTGGCAAGCATGTCAGCTGGCGACAGCTGGAGGAAGTCATATCCTATGATGCATAAAGTTTCCCGTGAGATCGTCGAGCCGATGATGCGGCGGACCTGGGCGATCTCCTTGGGGTGTTGAAGTGTCTGTTCAGGGTCGGCGCTGGAGCTAGCTGGGGCGCCCTGGACGGTGAGTTCGGTCAGACAGAGTTCCTGGATGTAGTTCATAACAGCGAATTGCCAGATGTCATAGTTGTTTTTCGTGAGGGTAGGGATGGGAATCGTGTATGGGGATTTCATGTGTGGTGTGCTGTCGGCAGTTTGCGGCGCGTTTTGTGTGTTGATGTTGTCGAGGGGTTCCTGCGCGGTGGCGTTAGCGTATAGATTGTCGATGTGCTGTCGTAGGCTGAGTCGTCTCGAGCTCAGGGCGCGCTGGGTAGCGTGGTCCAGAGTGGAGGTCGTCACGGGGAGCGAAGCCACTCGGAGATAGGGTCCATAACCTAAGGTGCGAGAAGGTAGGGGAACGCTGACTCCGGGCGCCGCCGTCGGAGGCCCAGGTCACACTTTAATATTAAAGTGTGATTTAGGGCTAATCTGTGGTGCCCTTACAGTGCGCGCACTGCCCATCAGGAACGAATAAATTCGCAAGTAATTTAGAAGCGACAGACAGGGAGGATAGGGATCTGTGTGACGGCGGCGAGTGAGGTGATCTGATTGTGCTGTCATGCGTGTGCTACGTGTGCACGTATGGCTCTCATGACATTGAGTGATCATCACGCCTTACTAAGGGTGACCCCACCGCGCCTTGCCCAAAATCGCAAAAAGCAGACACTTGTCCTCCGGTAATTGGATCTACTATCTTTTAATCAAGCCGCGCTTTGGGGGAGGTGGTGATTCAGAGATGAACCCCACCGCGCCTGTAACAAGATACATCTATTCATATTCAGGGTCACCCCAATTAGGCTACAAGTATGTCGTAGAAATACATTTGGCGCAAAGAAGAAAGCTACTGCACGCGTCTGTTCCACAATTGGCGGCAACTTTTGCTCGTCACTTGCCCGCTCTCCATAATATGTAGGCTCCTGTTTGGGAATTATCAACTCGGCAAGTACACCACGCTTTCAATTCCAATTATGGACTCTGGAACCGATTCCGATGATACCATCGCGGCATATTTCATGCTTTCTCTATCTGCTGCTGCTGTCGCTGGCGCTCTGGTCGCTCGGCAGCACAGAGAGCGCGTGCGATCCGGAGGTAAGTTTGGAGGATCAAGAATGGGAAAGGCGATGAACAGAGATCGCCACCGCCATTGCTTTGAAAGGCAAACAAATGAAGACTGGTTTTTGTCGCGGGATAGTGCAGGAAGCAGGTCTCTCTTCACGGCAGAAAAGTTTCGTGGCACTCATCGCGTTTCTATGGATATATACGAGCGCATTCGCGCGGTGCTGCCAGAGGTTGATCCATGGATTGCACAGATGGCTGAAGCGGTGGGCAAGCAGGGAACGTCTACGGATCAGAAGCTCATCGCAGCCCTGCGCATGCTAGCAAGCGGAAACTGCGCGAAAAGCGAAATACCGCTTATGAGGTTGGCGGAATCAACTCTTCTAGAAAACTTAAAACGGTTTTCTGCCGCGATTGTGAAGGGGTTTGGAAAAGAGTATCTGCGCCTTCCAACTACGAATGAAATTACAAAAATAGAAGCAGAGTATGCTGCTATGGGGTTTCCAGGCGCTATAGGTTGCGTCGATTGTGCAAGCTGGACTTGGGACGCATGTCCTGTTGCTTGGCAGGGACGACACAAGGGCAAGGAACGCAAAACCCTCAATCGTATGGAGGTAGTATGCGACGATTATCTTCGTATTTGGCACGTGAATTTTGGAGCACCCGGGGCGAAGAACGACATTCAGATAATGAACGCCTCCCCATTGTTTAATAATTTAAGATCCGGACAGTGGCCGCCGACACGCCCTGAAACAGACGTCGGCGGATTTAAATTGAAATGGTACTACTTCCTCGCTGATAGTATTTATCCTAGGTTCCGATTTTTCGTGTCCACGATTCCACGACCACGATCAAAGAAAGAGAAGATGTTCGCCAAGCAGCAAGAGGGAGCTCGCAAAGCTGTCGAAAGGGTTTTTGGAGTTTTATTCAAGCGGTGGCAAATATTGTACCGACCAAGTCGGCTGTGGCGAAAAAGTGATATGAACAATATAGTTTTAGCATGTGTCGCGATCCATAATATGGTAGTTGAGGAACGCCGAGAGCAATACAAGGGTACGGAAAAGGCCCGCCTGCCCGAGGACGAGACTCGCCTGCCTACGGAAGTCCACCTGAATTGGAGGCCGACAGACCGCGCCGAGGCAGCAGCTTACTGGCGCGAGTTTGCAGATGGCTGTGAAGACGTAGACCAACACCTGCAGCTGAAGAAGGCATTGGCGAATCACATCTGGAAGGCGAGAGGGGAAGTCTGCCATGTGAGCGATGGGGACGATTTTACACGCGAAGAAGACTATATCGGAGGCAACGACTCTACTGCAGGCGATGATGAGAATGGTAGTGCTGGTGAGATTTTCTCGCCAGCACCATCACGACTATTTTAATCATCTTGTGTTCCACTCGTGCATGCCCCTTTCTCATTCGTAGTTTTACTGAAAATTCCAAGTCTCTATCCCCTATTCCGGTGATATGGCTGATCAGATGGCAGTTCACAGTAGAAAAGAGTTAATCAATTTGCAGTATAACGCCACAAAACGACCGCGGTACCCCCTCACCGCAAACCCCGTTTTGCAGCCCGACTCACCCTCCCTCCAACGCACAGCACAAATGCTGTCTCCACCTCCACACTCCACCGCTTACATTCCCCGACAGCTGCCACACCATCTACCCCTACCGCATCGCAAAACTGCTTCCCCGCAAAACGCTCCCAACAGACATGCTTAGAAAGCGCGGTCGGTCCGACCACCCGCCTCCCAACCAAGAAGAGCCCAACCAGCCGTCTTCCTCGAACGCCACCCCCTCCACGGCCGTCCCTCCGAACCCTCCCCCGAGCTCATCCGCTTCGAGA